CATTCTCTATTTCTCTCCTTCTTCAGGTTCTCTCACCATAATGAGGTGATATTTTTCAGATTGATGGTAGCGAGCTTCACTTTGCGGTCATCTGACACATCCTTGTATTCAAAGATCCTCTCGATAGTCTGCAACTACTATATGAAGTAATCCAAATTCATCCTCCCCTCGAAATTCGGTATGTCCACTTTCATTTATGAGTCTATGTATCATCCAACAGGCATTTCATTTCTCAATCTCAAGGAAGTATCTAAGTCGTCCCATGTCCTTCACCTTAATCTCTTTGCCTAAATTTGTTTTCATCTGAGCAATATCTATCAAATCATCACCAGTGACAATCATATCATTCACATACACAGCAAAAATAGTAATGTGACTACCATGTCGTCGAAAGAATACTATATGATCAGCATTGATCTATTGATAGCCCATGCCTATCATTTTTTCTCCTGAACCTGTCAAACCAAGCTTGAGGAGGCTACTTCAAATAGTATTGTGACTTCCTCTATCTCCATACTGTCCATTGTTTGGTTTGTGTCGAAGTCTGGGGATATCTCCATGTACACTTCCTCTAACATATCCTCAAAGAAATACATTTTTCACTTCCAGTTCATGTAACCTCCATCCACCATTCACAACCAGTGAGATGAGTGTCCTGATTGTGATCATCTTTTCCACTGGTGCAAATGTATAATCATAATCAATGTCATACGTATAATTGTATTATTTCGCCACCAACTGTGTTTGTTTTACTATGAAGACTCATTTGCACCCAACAACTTTTTTTTCTATTAGTACCAACGTGAGCTCCCACCTCATGTTCTTATTGAGAGTACTAAGTTCCTCCAGCGTAGTAGTTTTCCACTTCAGATTCTTCTTAGCTATCGTCAACACTTGGTTATAGAGACATTGTCTAAAAATGCAATGAATGCTCCATGTAAATGTGATATGTTAGAGTATGAGACAAATTGGGAATGTCATGTGAGAAACCAAAACGATCATGAGAATAGCATTAGAAGGATGACCTGCATTGTGAGAAATCCTCTTTGAAGTCATGAGAGTGGGAGGAGAAGGGAGAGGAATCATATCACTTGTGTAAGTGTTCAGAAGTCGAGGTAGACCGGGACAAAGGACTTGTTGGCACGAGTGGCACTGCAGACACTGTTTCATCATTCTATCTCCTCCTTGTATAACCCTCAGCTCCCCTTGAGCTTGAATCTCACAACCTTCGGGCTCATTTTCCTCATTTTCTGACTCTTCCCCAGTCCATCCTTTCTACAAAATGGGACAAGGCATTGTTCCCTCATGTTCCAATCTCTCACCATAACTACTCTCCCCTCTCAACTCATAGCTCTAGTATCTGGCGAGTCACCAAAGGGTGAGGTCACCTCCAAGGTATAGTACTGTTCAAATTTTCTAAAAGTCACATTCATACTCACAGACTCTTCTCTGTTGGGCTCAAACAAATATACCCCTTCTGATTGACATAATAACCCACGAAAACGCACTTCACAGCTCTGGGATCTAGCTTCGCTATTGACCGTCCATTATCTCTCACAAAAATATACAATCAAATACCTTCAATGAGGAGGATCCCGCCATTATCTTCTTTCAAAAACTCACAAGAAAATTGTCACTCCAACACTCTTGAGAGTATTCTGTTGATCAATTGAGCGGCTATCAAAACAGTTTGTCCCAACAAGTGTTTTGGGACATTCATCGAGATCATCATATTTCGGGCTACCTCAAGAAGTTGCTTATTCTTCCTCTCTACTACTCTATTTTGTATCTGTGTGTATGGTCATATGATTAGATTTTGTATCCCTTGAGATGACAAATACTCCCCAAACGTCTTGTTGGTATACTTTGTCCCTTTAGCAAACCTCAATATCTTTACTATTGCATTGTATTGAGTCTGAATTGTCTTATGAAAAACTTTAAAACGGGTAAGCACATCACGTCTGTTTCTTATCATATATAACCAAGTAATACGAGTAAAGTAATTAATGACAGTCACAAAATATTTGTAATCATTTATCGAAGTTGTAGAACAAAGTCACCGCACATATGAATGCACCAAATCAATAACACAAGAACTCCTATTACCAGAACTAATATAAGAATTTCTGGTATGATTACTAAACTATAAGCATCACACATAAGTTTTTGTTTGTCTTTTCATATAAAGACAAATACAAATAATTCAATAGACTAAATTAAACGTGCAGTTGTGATGTAGCAACAATACATTCTCCACACTCCTTCCAGATCCTCCTATTCTAGTATTTTCTATCATGAATGTCAAGGTTGAATCCATCTCCTCTCTATTCAAGTATTAGAGTCCACTATACCACGTGTCAGTCTCAAGTCTCCGGCCAGTTCCCTTCTCTTGAAAGATCACCTTATGAATCTTAAATAAAACAACACATTTTAGTTAGAGTATAATGACACTAATGGATAAAAGATTTACGGAAGAGGCAGGAGCATACGAAATATTAGACAAGTCATAGAATTGGTATATCTCGTTGTACCCTTACTAACCATAGGCTGTGATGTGTCATCAGCAGTCTGAATGCTCTCTGGAATTGCTAGGTGAGTATAGGAAAATAAATCACTATTGACACTTGTCACATGTCGAGATGCGCCTGAATCTACTATACATTTTGGTGTTCTTGTGGTAAGTATAGAGACGAGCATGTGTATCACAAGTACCCTTGGCTGAGTGGGCATAAGTAGCAGTGTTTCTCTTAGATGACGATAAGGTAGATGCATACGCAGTCACATCACCTGTAGCTCTCTGCTTTCTCTTCAACATCTCCAAAAACTCGTGCTCCTCATCGATAAAGATCACTCCTGTCTCTCCCTTGTTCTCCACTATCATCTAATTTGCCCTATAGCCCCCTCTTCTAACCCGTTTGCCTCCACAATTATGGCCACGACCTTTAGACTGTTCACGTCTACCCGTCTCTCTCCTTTTTTTTAGAAGGGTCTCGTCTCTCTCTCCTTGGGTGGCTTTGGATAAGCCTTTCTCAGGTATCCCACTTCTCCACAGTTGTAGCACGTGCGGGTCTCCCTATGGATACCTGTCATACCTGAGCTTGAGGCAGCCAAAGTTAATCACATACCTAAAAGTTCACTCAACTTAGAATGTAATCTCATGTGAATCTCTTCCTATATCAGTGAGGAATCATTGCATTGGCTAGGAGGACTAATCTTCTATGATCAAAGGACGTGTGCAGATGAGCCAGAGACTACGTAGTCGTCATTTGTGTAAAGATCTCTCTCTTCTTGCATCTTGGATCACCATTGCTCGACATAAGTGAGAAGTGATCAAGATCTTGCCATAGTCGCTCCAATTATATGGAGTACTTTTGAATCAATCTATCACCCTATATCACTGTCTCTATGTCACGCTGAATCCGGAATACCCTCATGTGGTTTTCAGTCCTAGCATAGGTTCTTTTCAGCTTTTCCCGGATGCCCTTCACTTTTCAAATGTCATCCACTGATGAGGCAATCGATGGAACCTTAGACTTCAGAAATCTGGTGTAAAGTAAGGGGTGTGTGATCCTTCACTCATCCCCCTTAGCACTATCAATTTCTGGCTCGTCCTGGACTCCCGTCAGATATCCCTTTAGTCTCTTTTCTACTAGAATAGCCTCGATCCGACGTGACCAACTCAAATATGTGACCGGTCTATCAAGTTTCAGATCTACAGTGGGGAGATCTAGCTTCACCTATGTCGAACCACGTGTTGAGGTAGTGGCTCCTGTCAAGACTCTAGATCCCTGTATGAGCCTGACCAAGACCTTCAGAACTTTAGGATCTATCTTCCTCAAAAGTTTCAATCATTTACCTACTGTAATATCTCTTTCTTCTGGCATCTCGGCCATAAGGATCCAAGTCTAGATCAAACAAAAGAGGGAGCAAGGTAGCAACAAAAGTTCCACAACTTCTCGCTGACACCTCTCCTGCCATCCCTTCCTAAATCCCGTCTCCACTTCATGACAGTATTTTCGGGATATAGTCGCGTCTAGGCTAGCGAGTGAAGCGACGGCGAGGTCGCAGCTAGCAAGGGAAGCAGTGACGAGATCGCAGCACAGAAAGCCTGTTTTTCTCGTCTTCTGCTCTATCCTCCCAAACCGCACTGGTAAGCCACAACCCACAAAGAAGCAACGATGGGATCGCAGCACAAAAGGATTCCCAAATCTTGGCTAGGGCTTGGCTCTAATACCAAGTAAAAATTATTGCTCAAAAAGACCACTTATATTCTTAAGGTCTTGGATTTATATAGAACCTTACAATTTTTCTTACAACTGAATTCCTAGACTTTTTCTATATTTCCTATTTACAAATAGGGCCCTAAACTATATACAATTCTCAACAAAAATTAAACTTATATGCCACAAATTGGAAGGTTGGGAGCTAAAGGTTGTAGTAGATGATAAAATAGTTGATGATCTTCCTAATTTAATTTTATATTGTCACAATAATCTACATTTCTTGTAACCTTCACCATTAGTTGAACTCATTATCCTTAATTGGCACATAAAGTTATCAACCTAAATCAGAAACCATTCAATATTATGCAAAAAACTTGCATGTGCCGATAAGCAAATGATCACTGGCTACTTAATTTTGAATTTTTGGCCGTTCATTTAGAATTTAGAATAATAATTTGCTTGATCTAAAATTTTAACAGGAATATTATGAACTCATGAGATTTTGCCCACTTATAAAACCTTTTAAAAAAACAAAGCATCAATTGGCCTTACAAATTCGATGTAATGAAGTCTTGAGAAAATACAATTTGCTTAATGCAATCTTTAGGCTCGAATAACTTAAAAAATCGTTGCTCATAATAACGATCAAGGAAAATGATTTTATTTATTTCTCTCTTCATAAGATTTCTTGAAACTAAGCATGGCCTGAGTTTCCCCATATATCAACTTTTAGGTGTGATATCAATATTTTGGTTTTAATTATCCTAATAATTGCAGATCGACAATCATTTTTAAACACATCAAAGTGGATTGAGGAAGTTCGCACGGAACGTGGTGGTGATGTTATCATTGTCCTTGTGGGAAACAAAACTGATCTTGTGGACCAAAGGTTACACATCTGTGTTAGTTTTCTGTTTTGAAGGGTGTTTCGTGTTTTTCTACGCCTAGATTTTTTGGTTTAAATATTTGAGCTGCACTTATATGGAATTAATTTAAGTTTCTTTCTACAGCTTTATATCTTACGCTATGGAATTAATTTAACTTTCTTTTACATTACATTTTAGGTTGCCATTTCCAAAGATAATACCAGCTATTATCATGTTAGGTTTTATTTATTTATTTATTTTTGTGGGCTGTTGAAAAAACATCCTAGACTGCTTATTATGAGATGGAAAAATTTAGCATCTTGTTTAGGGTACCATATCAATAATAGTTGTGCTATCAGCAGAGTGGATTGTTGAGAGTAGGAAAAAGTGTTATAATTGGAGGGGAGAGTTGAATGTAATACAGTTTGAAATTGTTATATTACCAAAAATTTCATCTAACCAAATATAAAATTTTAGACTTTTGAAATTTTAAAGCAACCAAATACTTGAACTAGAATATTTGAGAGTTGATTTTGTGATTGTTAGACTTCAAATTTTAGTTGACTTTAAAATGAGCCCAATGCATAGATAAATCTTTAATGAGAGTCGAAATGCGGCCTAAATCAAGCACCTGAATGTGTAACTTCAAACTTATTGAGGTTATTTAAGGGAGAAAATATACTCTAAATTTGACATTCTTATTACTGAATTAGGTGCACTGATGGGCTATTTCTAATAAGCCTAAGATTGTGTAATTTCAGCCTTTAAGGCACTTCAGGCCTGTTTGGGATCCAGCTTAATTTTGTTTTTAAGATTATGTTTGTTTGTTATGTTTTCATGTACTTTTATTTTTGTTTTTAAAATAAATCAACTTGCTTTTAAAAACACTCGAAACAAATAAATATTATTTTTGAGTTTTTAAAAAAAAGTTAATTTGTTTTCAACATGACAAAAATGTTTATTTCAAACTGAAGTATAAACGAAATAGAATAAAAAGGACTTGTAGTGTGTTAGATGAGACTATCACTGCCCCAAAAGGACTTGTAGAAAACAGTATTTACATCTAACTTAAGGGAGATAGAAGAGAGGGGAAAGGTCGGATACTTTGACATTTTTTTCTCGATTAACAATTATGTTGACTAGAAGTCCTTCATCAAACAATCCTTCATATGAGAGGCCGAATTAGAGAGCTACCATTGTTAGATTTCAACGGATTTAATAGTTGGGCTTGGTATGTAGATGATAGAAATGTTTGTTCCTATCTTAGGAGCCATGGCTAGAATCCCTGCTACTGTTTCAAATGATGAAATTATTTCCCACTATTCAGGAGTGTTCAGAACCATCCCCTTTTTTGTTCCATCCACACTTTCCCACGGCTCAATTTTCTGCCACGTTTCACCCCCATCCCTGATGTTGGGGAAAAAATTTTCAACATAATGATGCCATCTTTTTTGTTAAAGCTAAAACTTTGCATGCTAGAATTATATTTGTAAACGTTCTGCTTATTTGTGGATAGAATCGTAATTATGTAGCTTTAATAAATCGAACAATAAAGTTGCAGCTTACGTAAGCTTTATTCTTTGCATGAATGGCTGTGTATTTCTTTGTTTTCTGCAGACCAAATTGTTTACCTGACTGACGGCCGTCGGAATTCTTTAGGATTCATTTGGGATCAATTTTGTTTTTGTTTTTATTTTTTTTCTTTTGTTTGTAAAAGTCTGTTTAACATATTTTTCTAGAACACCCAAAATAATTTTTAAGTGTTTTGAGTGTTTTAATTTTTAAAAAACAATCATATGCAAATCCAATATGTCAAATATGTTTTGTTTCAAATTAAAGCATAAATAAAATAAAATAAAAAGAAGAAATAGAAAGCATAAAACAAAAGTGATCCCAAATGGCCTCTTTAGTGAATGCAAATTTTGTTGTAGTGATGGGCTTTAACCTTGCCGCAGCTAAACCAACCTTTGCATGGTCTATAAGCCAAGTATTGCTCTAATATTCTTACTAACCAAAGAATGATGCAGCACATAAGCCTTGTGCTATTAATTAATTGCATTTATTCATTTGATGAATGTTTTTAGTTCTCTCAAGTCTCAACAATTTGCCATTAGTTCTTGTGGAACTTTCCTTGGTTCCTTCTTTTTTTTTTTCTAACTTGAAATTTAACAGACAAGTCTCTATAGAAGAAGGTGAAGGCAAGTCTCGAGAACTCGGAGTCATGTTCATAGAGACCAGTGCCAAAGCAGGATTCAACATAAAGGTCTGATTCGAATTTTCTCATCTCCTTCTCCAGTTCTCTTCACATTGGGATTTACATACATAGCACAAAGTTCTTATGTATTTATATATCTAACCCATACCTTGATATTTACATATATAAAACCCAAATCTTCAAGCCACTTAAAAAATATCAGCAATATTATCATCTTTTTGAGTTAAGCACATCTTTTCATGGGTATTTTTTTATGTGAAGAAACATTATATAAGTAAATATCAAATTTTAAATTGTAAATACATACGAGCGAGCGACGTGGTATGTATGCAAATCCCCCCCAAAAAGATATTCAAACGATAACCATGCAAATATGTGCAGCCACTATTCAGGAAAATTGCTGCAGCTCTGCCAGGGATGGAGAACTTGTCTTCTACCAAACAAGAAGACATGGTTGACGTGAATCTGAAACCCACCGTCAGTTCGTCCCACACCGAGCAGCAATCCGGTGGATGCGCCTGCTAGAACTTATGAACTACACGGTTAAACCAGCACTAACCAGCAGAGATCGTGTACAAGCCTTGTACCTTTGCTGGCTTAGAAACCTAGTTCCTCTTTCATTCCTCTGTGATTGCATCATGGGGAACTTGAATATTTTTGTTTACTTGCGAGTTTTCTTAAAATGGGACATTCATTTATTCAGCCTTTTTTTATTATTTTATTTTATTTTATAGGCCTTCTTGAATCATAAGAACATTCTGGTGGGCTTGGTCAACATTGGGTTCGGGGTAGAAATTTTCATGAAACTATGTGGTTTTATTTGGTAATGTCCTTTTAGTTATATTTCTAAAAAAATGTTATGCTATAAACTTTGATTTATTGATGAAATATAAAGCGGTGTGATGATGCGCTTGCATTTTTTTTTTTTCCATTTTTCTACTATTTTGGGCAATACATTTGAAGGTTAATTATAGATAATTCAATCGGCAAATGATAAAAAGGTGAATTCGAAGTCTATATCCTTTGTCGTCTGGGCAGCAACAAGTGGTCTTTTTGTCCACTCCATTATTATTATTATTTCTTTTTTTATTAGAAGATTGATCGGTTAATGCAAAAACATTAAGGGTCCGTTTGGGGCAGCTTGTGTGTTTCAGGATAAGCTGCTTACCCTGAAACGCGGGCCGCTGGCAGGCTGCAGGGGTCGACCTGCGGCCTGCATTTAGTGTAAAAACTCAAACGCAGTTTCGGATAAGTTGGGGAAACGCGCGAACCAAACGGTACGGTGGCGTTTTTAAAATGACGACTGCACTTATAAGCTGCCCTAAACGGATTCCAAATCTATTGTCAGACAATCATTTTGGACAAAATAAAGTTGCAGGTTTGATAAATCCGGATTTCATGGCTTTCAGCCTTAAATCTTTGGATTTTCTAAATCTCATGAATCGGTAGATTTTCAGGATTTGGAGGAAGTGATATTCGATTTGTTTTACTTTTTGCCGAAGATTTATGCATGGTTTTCTGGACTTAATAAATCTGTTACGAAACGGTTTTTCATATTTAAACCATTCAGGACGTAATAAATCTGGGATTTACTAAATCCTAATAACTTATGGGGCTTTTTTGGCTGCAAGTGGGATTTAGTAAATCATGCAAATCTGGATTTATGAAATTCTGAAAGGGTTAAATCCTGAAAATTATTTGGTGTGTTGGTAAATCGAGTATATCCTGGGAAATTGTTCAGTAGCCTTTTGCAGGATTTATTAAAAGGAAGAGATTTTTATGCATAAGAAAAATAAATTATATCACCTTAGGGGCTGAAGCTTAACATAGTTTTTTATCATCTTTAAACAAGTGTGCCAAAAATAAGAATACAACAGAATCATATTACAATTTATGACTACAGCAACCAAATGAAATAAAATTTTACATTGCATAGCTTAAGAAAATGTGAATAATTTGCAACAATAGAGATAGTCATGTTGCCAAAGATGGAGGAAACACAACAGAAGATCACTGCATCATCTCCATATACTAAGCCTTATGAAACGGATCGACATCTACGGGTCATATTAAAATATAAATCATACCCATGGTGATGGTCAATGAAATTATGTAATATTGTGCCAGCAATGACAATATATATCTGAATCGATATCAGAAATTGACGAATATGTGTTAGCACTTGAAACATTGCTTTCCAAATGTCAAATGTCCTCTCAACAACATTTCGTAACCGAGCATGTCGATGATTATACAATTCTGTTCTACGGAATTTTTTCTGGAGGCACTGTCACGATATTCACTCAAATGATAGCAATAATCTCTAAACGGTGCCAAAATTCTATCTGTATTTGCATATCTGGAATCTACCAAGTAAAATTTGTTATCGGGTATTCTAAAGTCTCCCTCTTCCACTGCCCAACGCAAAACCCTCATATTTGCTACAAAACCTACATATAAAAATTGTCGATCAAAAGAGACTGATGTGAAATTTCTATTGTAGTATTTGTTATGCGAAGCTCTGCTCACAATTGTTGGGAGTTGTATATCATCTATTGACCTATGATTTTTTTACAAAATGGATAAAATTGTTGGTTATTGCGTATGAAAGGATGACATTCCGTCTCTTTTTTTTACAATCGATGGGGATCAAAAAATAAATATTAGCCCGTCATTTTTGTGTGACATACCTTGAGCGTCGATTATGTATCGGTTAGGGATCAGTAAAAATGTCCATCAACTAGTCTTCGGTTTTGCCTACGAATAAGTTTAAAACCGTCGCATAGCCGACGGAAGGTCATTAGAAACCTGTAGCATAAGGAAAAATAAATAAATTCTTTCTTTCGTATTTACATTACCACATCTACTATCACAACATTTAATATACAATTTCAATCATTTAACAAAATAATATAGCTATCAAACCGTAATTTATCCAGTCAAATAATAAAATAAATAAAATGTATTTACTCTAAATTATGTTCATCACTGTTCACATAAAAAGTATATGTCCAAATTTACATAACATAAGAAAAAAAGAGAAAAGCCCCTCATAATCAGCCTCCTCATCAACGTCGTGCTCATTGTCCTCCGCAACTTCCTCCTCCTCCAATACTGTTGTTGTCTTGTCGTGCTCCCTCATCCTTTGTTGGAAGGCATCCAACTCAACCTTCAACTTGGGCTCTATGTTGGCCTCCAGCTCTGACCTCATCTTAGAGAAGCGGGCCTCCATCTCGGTAGAGAATGCCGCAACACATATGGAGATCTCCTCATCCTGTGTCGTAGAGGTAGAATCTGAAGATACCCTGGTGAAGGGGCGAGCATCATAGACAAACCCCTACAATCCGTACCCATAAACTCGACACCTTCTTCCTCTCTCCAACAGCCTCCCTCCAAAGGTTGTACTCAAAAGGATAATGCTCGTGGATCTTAATATCTCGCCATACCTGAGATCGACTCTCCTTCAAGTGCTGGAATATCTTCAACAAACAGAAGTAGTTACATTCAGTTGAGCTAGCATGTATTAACTTCAAACTACTTTAACTCATCAATTAGTTGGGTGGCATGGGATCTGTCTTCGATTTAGGAATGGTCTGACTGCCTCTTATGGGTGCGCTCATGTACATCGGCGATGGATAGCTCTCGTTTAATCTCCACAGTCTGTCCATAAAATGAAATCGTTAGAATACGTCTTTGAACTATAAAAAATCATATAGAACAAATGAAATTTCAATAGCCTCCTCTTGTATCCCGTATGTTGGAGCGGCCTACCAGTATGCTTTAAGGGCCCCATGCCTCCACAGTCCGACCACCTATTCTATTTTGTCTACTCCCTCTTCTTCTGGCAGTCTGGTGAATCCAAGGCCCTAAGAAGCATGGAAAAAACATTCTCTCCGAGCCATAGAGGACTCTGTTTCGATTTCCAAATATCGCCAAATATGTCTCAGAGGCCATGACTGCCTTTACGCTCGAAGTTGTGCCAAATGTGTGCCTCATGCTCAGGGCACCAAGAGAATTATTTCTGCAAATATTACAGAGATTATGTTCGATTGATAACAAAAAAAATAAAACATTATTTGTAAACGATACTTACCGCAAACTTCTGAAACAAAAGACCTCGAAAGACCATCAGGATCTCCTTCCACAACAAGTATGTTGATTCATACTTGCTCTGAATGGTATCTTGAATGATATGAATAGTTTGGGTCGTGGAATAGAACCTTAAAACAACAAATTGCTAGTTTTATATGCAAAGATTACTAACAATATCTTTAAAAAAATTTTTGTGTTGTCGACATACTTGATGCGGTACATGCTACCTGTCGGATCCTGCCCAGTAGAGGCAGCATGAGTCTCTGATGCACTCAACTCTGCTGCAATCAGGGTGGAGTTAAGGGTGGCGGTGGTGGCAGAGGCGGGGGAGGGGTGAGTGTGAGGGCGAGAGTGGTGGCGGTGGGTGGTTACATAGGTGGGAGGTGGAAGTTGGGGCGGTGGCGGAGGTGAGTGTGTGGGCAAGGGTAATGGCGGGTGCAGGGTTGGGTGCATAGGCGGGGGCTGATGTGGGTTTC